CAGGGTTTTACCGTGTTAGTCACGATGGTCTTGATCTCCTGATCTCATGATCGGCCCACCTCGGCCTCCCAAAGTGCTGGAATTACCTTTTTTTTTTTTTTTTTTTTTTTTTTTTTTTTTTTGGCATGGAATTACCGGCATGAGCCACCGTGCCTGGGCCACAAGGAGCAAGCTCGATGTATCGTCGCTAATGTTTACGCTGGAGGGGAGGTAATTTTAAATAGAATGAAAGATTAAGCCCTTGGATTATTTGATAATCATATTAATAAAGAGAAGTGGCCGGGTGCAGTGGCTCATGCCTGTAATTCCAGCACTGTGGGAGGCCGAGGTGGGTCGATCACCTGAAGTCAAGATTTGAGACCGGCCTAACCAACACGGAGAAACCCTATCTCTACTAAAAAAAAAAAAAAAAAATTAGCCAGACGTGGTGCAGCATGCCTGTAATCCCAGCTACTTGGGAGGCTGAGGCAGGAGAATCGCTTGAACCTGGGAGGCACAGGTTACAGTGAGCCGAGATCACACCATTGCACTCCAGCCTGGGCAACAAGAGTGAAGCTCCATCTAAAAAAAAAAAAAAAAAAAAAAGAAGTAGATCTTCTCAATGTAACTATTAGGTACTATGTATATTTCACAATGTAAGTAAATCTTATATTGAAGGAATAAAGTCTGCATAATAAGAGCTCAGTAAATAACAACTTCTATGAGCAACAGGACAATACTATGTCCCTGGCATTTGGACTTAGACAAAAACCTTTGTTGAATCACAGCCTGTCCAGGTATGCACTGTGTGACCCTGAGCAGATCATGTCATCTCTCTGACACCGTTTCCTAGTATGTTGGGTGGTGAAAACTCACATTACAGAGGCCTGTGGGGGTACAGGAGTCAATCTGTGCAAAGCGCTCAGCATGTGCTGAGTGCTCAGCAAGTTACAGCCACTGGAGTTAAAATCACTACCATAATGGTGAAGAGCCCTGGCAAACGCTGCAGTCTCCATTCTCCCCACTGAGAAATCCAAAGGGCTGACCAGCTCCCCTGTCTTTCCCAAACTAGGATCCCAGGAATTAGAGATGGTGGTGCTTAGGTAAGTACACAGCAGCATCTAGTGGACTAGAAGGAGAATTGATGAAGTGTCACAATAACACTGGGAAGAGGAAGTTTTAAGGCTAGGGAAAAGGTTGGCAGAGAAGTCAGGAAGGAGGCCTGCACGTGCTGGGTGTCCCCAGTGGGGGGATCAGAGGAGGTCCCTTAACAGTTACCAGGACCTCAAGCCCTCATGTGCTAGCTGAGGGTATCCTTTTCCCTCTCCCACGCCTCCCTGGTTGCTGGGTCTCTGCATCCTATGGGCTCAGGGGCCCTTCTTTTTCAAGTTCTGCTTCACGTGTCTGTGTCCAGCTGAGGGCACTGACCACGCTGCCCTAGTCCCCAGGGCTGATGCCAGGACAGTAGAAAGCTCTGTGCTGGGGCATAGCCAAGGTGTCCCCCATGGCTCTGGTCCACACATTGGCAGCTGGGCCTTGTGTCCCTCTGACACCAGATCCTACGGTTTCTGGCTCTGCCACCTCTGCTGTGATGCTCCATTCCAACCATGTGGCTCAGCAGGGAGGGGCACTACACACTGTCCCTTCTCCATACTCCTTCTGCATTCCTACACGCCCTGCACAGGAGCCCTCTACCCTCCTCCTTCTGTTAGGAGAATTCAGAAGATACCAACTTTCTCCTCTTTTCCTTTCTGTAGTGGAGGTCCCGGCAGGATCCCCTCATGAGCTGTGAGGGTTAAATGGGAGAAGGTTAGCCAGGCGCGGTGGCTCAAGCCTGTAATCCCAGCACTTTGGGAGGCCGAGACAGGCGGATCACGAGGTCAGGAGATCGAGACCATCCTGGCTAACACAGTGAAACCCCGTCTCTACTAAAAAATACAAAAAACTAGCTGGGCGAGGTGGCGGGCACCTGTAGTCCCAGCTACACGGGAGGCTGAGGCGGGAGAATGGCGTAAACCTGGGAGGCGGAGCTTGCAGTGAGCTGAGATCCAGCCACTGCACTCCAGCCCGGGCGACAGAGCAAGACTCTGTCTCAAAAAAAAAAAAAAAAAAAAAAAAAAAAAAAAAGAGAGAAGGTGTACTGGGCTTGAAGCACAGGCAGGTCCCACAACAAATGCTCACAAAATGGAAGCCTCTGCCACCATCTGCCTCATTCCCATCAACCCAAGTAGCAAAGAGCCACCCCTGGCCTCCCAGTACCTGGCCTGTGTGGGGACATGTTGGGGCCTTCTGACCACGGAGACAACAGAGGAGAAAAAAATCATGTCCCCTCAGTTATGGGCCAAAGGGGAGCCCCCGGCCCAGATGCCCAGACACACCTCTCCTGACCAGTCCAGGAGGAGGGTGTGAAGCAGGGGCCAGGTTCACCCTGGGCTCCCATAGAAGATAGAGAGGCTGTAAGGCCCCCAGCAGCAGTGAGCAGAGAGAAGCTCTGGGAGGGAGGGAAGGGGTGCTGGGTCCTGGGGGCTCCCAGGCTTGACCTGTACAGGGCCATCTGCTGCTCAAGTCCGAGGCAATGTGGGACTGAAACAGCCCAGGCCTAGGTGAGACCCGGAGTGTGCCTACTTGTGCACTATGGGAGGGAAAGACTGTAGTCCTGGGGTGCCCTAGGAATACTTGACCCTGCCCTGCCCAGACCTCAGGCAGCAGAAAAAAGCCCTCATGAAGAAGATAAGGGACAGAGGATAACCGGAGTTCTGTGTGATCAGTAAAGGTGGCCTGATGACAGCCATGACTTCAAACACAATTTGAAGCTGGATCCAAGGCTGGAGAGCAGGATGGGCATGCCGGGTGATGGGCATGGCAAAGGCACAGGAGTGATGGTGGCACACAACTGTGGCTGACGCACATGGGCCCTAGTTGAGGAACCCTGAATGCAGGTGTCTGCATCAACAGTCAACTCAGAGACCCCATTTTCCATGCCAACTGGCCTGCCCACCACCCAGAAAGGCCCTGTACACTGTGCCATGTGGCTGGCCCCGCACTGGGCCAGGCCTCCATGAGGATAAGGAAACATGGGAGGCAGGAGGTTGGGGCCTTGCCCTGGGGAGGGAGAAGAATGGAACACAGGCAGTGGTCATTGACCAGAAGAGATGGAATGAGCAGAGGATGCTACCAGGTAGTGAGTATAAGGAATCATATAGTTCAAGGTATTCATCTGACATATACCAGAAACTCACACAAAATAAGAAAATACACAAAACCACATAATCCAACAAAACTTTGGGCAAAGAACCGAGAGACATTTCTGAAAAGAAGGCAGGAAATGAACAGGTAAAAAAAAAAAAAGTTTGCCCACATCACTAATTATCACAAAAATGTAAATCAAAGTCACACTAAGATAGTGTTCCCATCCACATAAAATGAATGTTGCCAAAAGCAAAAACAGAATTCTTAACAGGCAATCACCAGCATGCACCTGCAGACAGGGAACCTCTTAGACACTACGGTTGGGAATGGAAATTGGTGTACACACTACGAGCAATAGTCGGCAGTTCCTCCTCCAGCTAAAAATATAACCACTATATCATCCAGCAATCTCAGCACTGGGAAATACAAAGTACATGGATGTATTATGCTCCCTGATTACAAATGACATAGAAGAGCTACAGAGATCCAAACAATATGGTTTTGGCATTAACATAAAAATACAGAACAGACACAATGAGGGAACCAAATACCAAACCCAAATTCATATATGATGGACGCATTTGAAAAAAATATACCCAGGGGATGGGAGACTCTGGGCTGCCTTCGGTCGGGCTGCAGAAGTGTCCTGGGGGGACCTGAAGCTGCCTCTCACCTGCGCTCTGGATGGTTTCTACTCCATGAGGATTTCCAGAGTTTCCCCTCAGCCACCGTCAGAGTAGGGCTTCTATGGGGCTGCGACCATCTGTCCCAGCCTTTCCTGTCTCCATGACACACCGTGTGACCTTCGTATACTGCAATATGTAGCTGCGCGTAATGAAAGCGTACAGTTAAGATGACCTACAACCGATGCTACTCGAAGTCTTCCAGAGATTTTTCAGATATCTTCAGACCAAAACAAACTAGTGACATTCCATGGTGTTGCAAACTGGCACCAGCAACTGCACAGAAACAGCTCCCTATGCACCATCAGACACTCTCCAGACCCGCCCCTCGCTCACAAATGTAACAAATGAGCATGAACCCAGGCAGTCTTCACTCCTAAGGGCTACATAACAACCTCTTATCGGTCAGGAAGCCTTTGATCTGGGCCAGGATGCTGACGCACAGGGGTTAATTGTGCCTCTAATGCTGAGTGTTGCTTCCCCTCACTGGGTTAACCCCTACCCTTGCACCAACAAGGGCCCCCAAGGAAACTGCTGTCTGACATCCAGGAGCCCACGTGGAATGTTTCAGCAACTTGGATGGCCTTGGCTGTCTCTAGTACCAGCCTTTCCCTCTGTGGGGCTCACTCCCTGACTCTTGCTTGTGCAGACCAATCTAAAGCGGCTGACATCTCCTGCTCCCTCAGCCTCCTGGGTCACCCTGATGGCATCATGCTGGCCATGGGCAGGTGCCTCCAATCAAGAACGAGGTACCCACAGGCTGAGTTCCCTGGTGTGGGGAACAATGCCTGGGGTCTGCAGACAGCCTACCCGAGGTAAAGAATCCAGCTCTGACACTTACAGCTGAAAGACTGTGTGGCAGAAAAGGAGAGACTCTCTGGGCCTGTCTCCTCTTCTGGCTCACTGGATTGTTAGGAAAATTACTGAGACACTGGGCTTAAAGCTCTCAGCCTAGGGCCCAGAATGCCACAGGAAATCAAATCAGGGTGACCAAGGACTGAAGACTTCTCCTTGGCTGGGAATGGGGGATCAGGGTTGCAGACACAGGGGCACAAAACGATGCTTGCGTCATAAGAGAAGAAACTGGGGATCTGGTCCACCACAGGCTCCTCAACCTCAGTGTGAGGCCTTGCTGGGCCCTGAGCTCACCTCCCCATTGGGAGTCCATTATGACTGCAGTCCAGAGGGGTCAATGTCCTCGCTGATGCTGGAAAGAAGTCCCGGGAGATGCGGAGGGCATCCTGTACTGGCAGGCAGTCTGGGTGGTCCACAGGTGTGTGCTTCAGCAGGTCCTGGGAAGGGATGAGGTGGTGATTTGGGAAGCCGTGTTTCTGGTGCTCAATGAGAAGTCCCTGGGGAGTGCTCAGTCCTCACCGAAAGAATTCAAAGGGCAGGTACTCACGGACTCACATTCATGCCTGCAAAATCTGAACTGAAAATTAGAATCGGAGCAGCAAGGTTGACTCTAAAAGGACCTGGGCTTGCTTTTCTCCCTGCTGCAGTCATTACTCTTTTCTCCTGGCAGAGGCAACCAGGTGGACGCTCATCTCACCAAGCATTTGGAGAGACACCCCTCTACCTACCCTGCAGCTGCTCCAAGGATCCTGGAGACCAAAAGACAGGGGTTGGGGAAGCAGGATGTTCCTGCCTCCACCAAGAGAGCAATTGGCCAAATGTCAAGCTCAGAAGCTAAGCTCTATTGAGGCTCTGTCCCTGCTGGCATGATCACCACGGACCAGGCAGGCATACTCAGGGCCCAGAATCCCTCTGACTTTTCAAATGGGCTGTTCTCAGTGACTCTGGCACCCACCCATCTGAGGCTCAGTCTTCCGAGAAACTCTTAAGCCCTCTCTGGTCCTTCCAGGGTCTTAACACTCATGTGTAAGACCAGCATACTCTGAGTGACTTACTTGTTCAGTGGGCTGGTACAGCAGAGCTGTTGGGGACAGCACAGAGTAAAAGGACAATGACATACAAAGAACCACTCAACACCTCAGAGACCAGCTTTGTCTCCCACCCGCCTTGCTTCCCACGTGAACACCTGCTTGCGGGAAGCCAAAGTGGGTCCATAGCAGCCCCCACCTGTGTTCTCACTCCCAGGGCAGACCAAGCAGCAAGAACAAGTGACACACAGCCCTGGTGACCCTGTCCCCTCCCTATCCATGCCTACTCTCCCATCAGAACCGGCTTCTTCGACAGCTGCCCCAGTCCTGTCCAGGCCTTACCTGGCTCAGAGCAGATGATCCCCTGCACCTCCCACCCTGAATCACACGGCTACACCCAGCACATGCTACAGAGGCCCAGCACACTCTGGGTCACATCCAGAGACTCCACAATAGGAGAGGAGACATGCTGTTTCCCAGGAAGGGCAGCTCCCCAGGCCTGGTCATTCTCCGACTCCTCCAGTCAAAGGCCGGGCACAGCCAGCTGAGATCGCCATGCTTCACTCTGACCCACACGACTGGCCTTGCCTCCTCTATGGGAAGAGACCCCTCCACACAGCCTCAAACCCAGACATAACAGGACAAGACAGGCTGGGCGCTAGGGAGGCCAGCCAGATCTCCACACAAAGGCTCCGCTCTTAAGGAGGAGGCAGTCTTAGGGGCAAAAGTTTCCTGAAGCAACTCAGGTCAGGCCTCATATACAAGAGCCCCAAAAGAGGCTGCAAAAATAGCAGCTCAGCCAGGCAAGAACCCAGGGCCACACCCTTCTGAGACCCAGACACCAAGTGAGGATCGCTGGGATTCAGCAGGAACAGGTGGACGTGACAGCTGATGGACCAATACTTCCCAACACCCTTCCAGCAAGCAGCTATAAGTCGCCTCTCCCAACGAGTCACTCCACTTCAGTCCTGCACCTGGATGCCTCTGTGCATGGGGTCATGATCTTTGGCCTCCTGCCACAGGAGCAGTGAGAGGCAGGATGGTGGCCTGGAAAGAAGGATCTTAGACTGTATGTCCCATAGGACCAGGTTGTGAGAGATCCCACAGCCAACACTCATGCCCCAGGCAACCCCCAAACCCAACAGGTCCCCAAAGCCCTCGATATAAATAGCCTATGCACTGCTAAGCAGACACTTCAGGGAACAATCTGCTGGCTGTGAAGAAGATGCAGCCTCAACAGGGTTTCATAAGCCATCTGCAAGCAAAGCCTTCTTTGCTTAGATGCCCCTTAAAAGCACTAGGGAAGCTCTTAAAAGATACAGGACTAGGCACAGTAGCTCATGTTTGTAAACTCAGCATTGTGGGAGGCAGACGCAGGAGAACAGCTTGAGGTTAGGACTTTAAGACCAACTGGGGTGGAATAGTGAGACCTCATCTCGCAAAACACAAAAATTAGCATGGCATGGTGGTGCAGGCCCATAGTCCCAGTCACTTGGGAGGCTGAGAAGAGAGGATTCCTTGATCCTGGGAGGTCAAGGCTGCAGTGCCCATGATTGTGCCACTGTGCTACAACCCAGGCAACAGTGCAAGATCCTGTCACAATCAATCAAACAAACGAAAAATCAAAGATGCCTGTCTCCTGCCCCATCAAATAAATCCAAATCTCTGCAGGGTGACACAGGGTATTAACATTTTTAAATTTTGCCTTTGCTGAAGTAAACATGTAGTAATGGCTGAAAACCACTGTATTATGTAAATCCACTTCCTATAACTTATTTGTAGCCCTTTCATACCTAGGAATTTCTACAGACCCTCTCTGTCGGCTTTGGAAGCCAGAATGGGCAGGGCCAGGTGTGAGGTGTCCTAGGACACTGAGGCTAGAGCACAACTCCCAGCTCGGGAGGACCCATGTCTGAGACTAAGGCACCCACCGGGGGCTCAGCCTATCTTAAGAGGGAAAATTACACCTCAGCACCCCAGAGACCCAAAAGAAAGCTCGAGTTCAGCAAATACCTGACAGTGGGCCCTAGAGTGGCAGCCACAGGGAAAACTGCCATTGCACTGTCAGCTCCCTCTAGCCCCCTTTCAGGTCCCAGCAGGAGGAGGTCTCCGATTGAGTTAAGATGTCTCAAAAAATGGTGGGTTGAACCTCAGAGGAGTTATTAATAGGTCTATAGTCACCTGAAGACTCCACCTGACTAGGGCCAAAAATGAGTCCAAGGAGGGCAGCCAGGAAGAAAGCAGGGTAGAGAGGAAACATAGGGAGAGGGGGCCCTGGGACCACGTCGGATATGGAGGGAACTAGGGGAACGAGGGCAGCCCTGATGATTGTGCTCCCCACGGCCCCTGCATGCCTGTGTCCCCTGAGAATTCAGGGTGAGGAGCTCACTCTTGCCCTTCACCTGTTCCTGGGCTCTGGCAGGCTGGCCTGCTTCCTGCCCCAGCCTCACCCACTCTCCGCACTCCTCACCACTGATGTGGGCAAGCTGATCTCTCCGGTTTGCTGGGCTCTCACTCTCTGCCCAATGGCACCAAGTTAACTTCTTTCCATGCTTTATTTTCTGTGTGATTAAAAAGGGAAGCAATTCTCACTAATACCATTTCTCAGAGAAGAAAACAGGCACAGGGATGCTCTATGACTTCCTCACGGTCACCAAGCTACAAGTGGGAGCTGGGCTTTGCATGGAGGTCTACCCATGATCTTAAAGTTGAGCCGTCCTCCAAGGAAAGCACAGCACCTGTAAAAGCTCAGTGAATGGGGCGGGAGTATCCTCACTAGAGCCCAACCAGGCTGGTACCCTGATATCCAACCTCCAGCCTCCAGAACTGGGAGAAATACAATTCTGTTTTTGATGAGCTCCCCAGGCTATGGCTCTTTGCTGTAACATCCTGAAGTGGTCCTGAAGTGCTATTCTACCATCTGTGTCCTATTCCATCATTCAGAAGGGAGTCACTAAGCCCTCAGTGATGTCTTTGTGGATGCTGCCCACCCAAGGCTGAGATGACGCACAGGGTCTGGGTCTAAATAAAATAGGAAGGCATTGGAAGGTGCAACGTCAGAGAAGGAGGATGTCTGAATATCATTTAACCTCAACGTCTACTGGTGCAGCATGAAAGACGAGGCCCAGAACAAAAGTGGCTTTTCCTGAGATCACACTGTGGACCCCAGACCCACTGGAGTTTTATTCCATGCTACCTCTCACTCTTTCTTGCATTTCTTCCATCTCGAAGGATGTGCAATATCTACAGGGAACACCATACCATGAGTTTTTTAAGATTTATCTCAAACACACCTCTGGAGTTCCCTAGGAAGGAGATGGTAGTGTAACCCCCATTGTGCATGCTGGGGAGGCCACAAAACACCATAGGATTTCTCTAGGGTCTCACAACTGCTAAGATAAAGGCTGTTTGACCCAGCACTGGCTCCTCAAACCTGGGACCCTGGTTACATCCAGGTCTTCCCAAGGTGCTAAAGGGGCACACTTTGGCATAATGGAGAAGAGGTAAGGAGGTGACGGGGGAGGGTGAGCAGCCAGAAGCCCAGAGGGGCCTTTGAGTAGGTCTGATGGAAAGGAGGAACTTACAGGATGGAACCTACAAGATGTGACCTCACTTCCTTGCTAACAGACCCCCAGTAGAACACAGAATTCTGGTAACTAGGCACCCATATTATACACACAGCCCCATTTCCAGTTCATTTGGTGGGCGACACTCCGGAGAACAACATGTTCTCCTGCTGTGTCCCGACGTGCTGCCGACCTCCTCATCGCAGAAGAGGCCAAAATGAGAGTCTTTCTCAAGAATATAGACATTGGTTCAACCCTCATTCTCGACGCCTCTGGCCCTTTGCCAGAAGGCACCCACAGGTAACACAGGGCCCAGGGCAGGCCTGTCCAGGCCAGGCCTCAGCTGTGCCCATCAGGGCAGCACCGAGTCCCTCCCCATATGTTTGGGGGAAACAGGAGATGAGGGGCCCTCCCTGGACAGGAGCAGGTAGGTTGTCAGGTGTCTGGAGTCTGATAGGTATGTCAGGCTCACAGTCCAGACCATGCCTAGCAGGATGGGAAGGTGAGTGTCGAGGACACACTTTGTCTGCTCAGATCTGAATCCCAAGACCTCGAGTTTCATCTGCCGGAGACCTCAACCTTCTCTGGCTGGAGGTCTATGCAGATGCTCCTATGTGCCAAAACTTGTTGGGGTGGGGGGGGCCAGGAAGGAGTTGTATTGTGGGTGTCCCACTGTGGGGTCAGCCAGGCAGGCCACCAACACCTCTTGGCCCGGCTCTCGGGCACTCTCTTTGCAGAGCTCCACACAGCAGATCAAACAGGAGCTGTTGGATGGATTCCATTTCTCCATCTTCCTCAAAGACGGGCAGGTGCCCCATGCCAACAACCACGGCCAGTGCTGGTCTGGGGTGAGACAGGGCACAGAAGGGTCTCCACAGACAGGGACTCCAGAAAACCAGGGTGGGCCCAGGACTCAGACATGAATATGGGGACTCCCTAAGCTCTGTCCTAGGAACTTCCCAATTGAATGACCCACTGTCTTCTCCCAAAGGAATCTGGCTGCCATTAGTCCCCAGTGGCAACTTGGTTACAGGCAAAATCCCTTTCATCTATCAGAGGAAGATCAGAGAAAATCCTTCTGTTTTCACTTGATGCTATGCCAGGAGTATCTCAACACGTTGCCACAACAATTGAGTATAATGGTAACACTGTAGCAACATACTCATACTGTTATCATTGTAGCTCCCCACCCTAAGTGGATCTCCGGCAACGGGCAGTTCCACTGTCCTGTCAGACCTCCTCCAGGACTTAAAATCCAACATTTTTACACAAGCAAGTGGGGGGTGGGGGGGGGTGGGGCGGGGCACTGATTACAACAAAAGAAGGTGAAGCTACTCTATGCATGTGTGTTTAAAGTGTCATCAAACAGAACTCATCCCTGTAGCCCCACCAGGCAGGAGCTGCACCCTCGAATCTCACTGTAATATTCCTTAAGGGAGGCCATGTTCCACAGTGGGTCAGCCTCTCAGTGCTGGTGGAGCCTGTCGTGGTAAAATTTCCTATCTAGGCAGCCTTTCTGCAGGGAGCATAATCCTATGTGTGTCCTAATAGGCTGGAGCAGTTTGCCAGGGCTGCCATAACATGCACGCTGACTGAAGGGCTAAACCACAAATATCTGGTTCCTCACAATTCTGGAGACTGGAAGTCCAATGTCAAGCTGTCAGCCTGGGGTGGTTTGTCTGGGCCTCTCTCCTTGCCGTGGAGATGGCTGACTTCTATCTCGGTCAGCACAGGGTCTTCTCTTCAACTTCTCTGTGCGCTCACCACCTCTCCTTGTAAGAACCCCAGGCATATTAAATTAGGGGCCACCCTAATGAACTCACTTCACCTGAATTACCTCTTGGAGAACTCTGTGTCCAGACACAGTCACATTCTGAGTCTCTGGGGCTGAGAATAGAAACGTTTACATTTGGGGGAGGGGATATAATTTAACCCATAAAATATACAAATCCCCTGTGGAAGACAGACACCCGGGAAAGGGAAATCTGGGTGAAAGGATGTGCAGATAGCAACTTTCAACAGCTCTAGCCAGTTGACTTTCCAAAAGGCCTCCAGCAGCCTCAGCCTCTGAAGGTAGCTGCTTCTCTGAACACAGCCTCCCCTGAATACTAACATGCTTTTAACTTTTTGCCAATCTACTGTCTGCGTGGCAGAGAAAATCACCTTGCTTCATTTCCAGTTTCAAACATACATTTGCGTAACCTTTCACGGGTTCCATACCTGCCTGCATTTTCTTTTTTTTTCTTTTTTTTTTGAGACGGAGTCTCGCTCTGTCACCCAGGCTGGAGTGCTGTGGCCAGATCTCAGCTCACTGCAAGCTCCGCCTCCCGGGTTCCCACCATTCTCCTGCCTCAGCCTCCCGAGTAGCCGGGACTACAGGCGCCCGCCACCTTGCCCGGCTAGTTTTTGTTTTTTTTGTATTTTTTAGTAGAGACGGGGTTTCACCGTGTTAGCCAGGATGGTCTCGATCTCCTGACCTCGTGATCCGCCCGTCTCGGCCTCCCAAAGTGCTGGGATTACAGGCTTGAACCACCGCGCCCGGCATCTGCCTGCATTTTCTATTCCTCAAGTTGCCTGGCAGATTCCGGGCCTTGGTATGCATTTCTTCCCACCCTGGAGTCTTCCAGCATTTTCCCCTTGCCCAAGGCTGGGATGGACGTAGCTGTTTCTCCAGACTCACGTACATCTTAAAGAACAAAAACAATCATATCCCTATGAGTCAAAGGGTTCTTGTCCTGTGCCCTGTAGCTAAAATGAGGAGGGGACGAGGCCTCCCCCGGCCTTGAGGACTTGCAGGGATGATGCTCCTCATGCAGGCGGTTGATACACGGGGTGCCGTTGCCCCACAGCTGACAAACACCGTGACGATGCCTTGAAGGCGTGAATCATTTTATCACTTTCCATCCTCACATGCAATTTTACTTTGAAAGCCTAGAACCCTTTCACCATGGGCACCCAGGTTCTCCACATGCACAAGTCCCTGAAGGGTTGGTGCTTCTTGGTGTGAGTTCCAGATCCCAATCCTCTGGTGGCTCATGGTGTTACCACTGACTCCCATGTCCCTCCTTGTCCCCCTAGTATGGAAATGAGATCTGCAGGATGCCAACTTTCCAGGCCGGCACAAGGGAGAAGCTGTTGGACTCCCTGGTTCCAGCCTTGCTAACTAAACCCATCTCTTCCTATGCCACCTGCCTGGGCCCCTCCTGGGACTTTATCACCGTGCCACACTTTTTGGAACTACTGGTTAGAAGGTGAGTGTCCGTCCCCTCCAAGGCAGAGAGGTGCCTCTGTCCCCTACTGGCTGGGTCTTGAAGATGCAGCTCTTGGAGCCTCGGATGGCTCCTCTGGAACAGGGAGTAGTGAGAAGATGAACCTCACAGGGTTCTTGTGGGGACTGAATGATTTACGACTTGGCAAACAAAGGGGTCCCTAGAACCTAAAACTCTGGAAAATCTGCTGTGGGTGCTGTGATTCATGTTTATTATTTTTGTCTTCCCCCTCACTGAAGCACCTCTCAGCATTCTGTCTCAATGGCCCATATCCTTTGCAGTTTGGAAAAACACACAGAAAGCAAGTCTGCAATGGCATTGGTAAAGGATGTCTGAGATTCCTTCTGGCTGGTCTTTCTTCTTGACACAGACAGAAGAGGGGTCCCTTGGTGCTGAAAAGGGAGCCACAGGCCCACAGACATCTGGAGAGGCTCACTGGGGTTCTCCAACGGTTGAAGTTCACTCATTCAACACATACATACAGAACACCTCATTTGTGCATCGTTCTTGTGGCTTGGCATAACTTCATAAACAAAATAATCCCTGGGTCTCAACTCTACCCACAGTCAGGCGCTCATAGGAGACAGAATAAACAGGTCATATCTACAGAATGTTAGAGGGGAAACCCTCATGGCCTCCTCTACATATGGTGGCATCCTCCCAGATACTGACGAGAATGACGGAGCCCAGCAACAAGTATAAACTGGGTGGATTTAGGGTTCTGAAGGGTCTTTTCACCCACAAAACATGGGGGAAAAGATGTGTAACCTGGCAGGGGGGAGACTAAAGGAGCACTGGGGCTCATACTTGTAATTCACATAAGGCAGCTGACGTCTAGGGATTTCCCCTGCAAGAGGCAAACAGTGAGTTCTGTAAATACAGACTTAGTTCCCCTACAAAGGAGAGGGGAGGTTGGGGTCACAGCTGGCCACAAAGAGACCCATTCCCCAGCACCATGGCTATGCAGCTCTCCCTGTCCTCCTCCACCCAACATCTGCATCTACCCTCCTAACCCCAGGACCAGGGGACCCAGAGCTGGAGCTCTGATGAGCAACCTGCTCATAAATCAGGCTGGAGCTGCAGTCTTAAGTGTCCAGGTGCACAGTGCTGTGATCCAGGGCCTTTGGGAAGAGAATGTCAGTGGAATGCCGGGGCGCGCAATGGTCTGTACAGTCCTGCTGCATGGCCAGGTCTGCCCCTTAAAGGACAGCACTGATGACCTGGGGTAGGGTGAGGCTGTCCTCTACACAGGCAGGAAGAGGCCAGGGACCCAGAACCACGCAAGTGTGCCCTGGAGGGTTGTGTGGGAGAAGGCCAGGCCTCTGACTCAGCTGTCCACTCCATCACCAGCACCACCACCTCCATTTTGTTCACCTGGCCCCTTGAAAACACTTCAGTTTGCTATCGGCCCCACAACGGTCATCTTTCCGGATAAAGCTGGCCTTCAGGAACTTCGCCTGGCCTGGACTGGGCATGGAGGACCATCAGGAACTTGTCCTAGGCCAGTTGGTGCTTCCGGAGCCTAATGAGGCCAAGTCAGATGGTGAGGTGGCTTGCAGTCTGGAAGACTTTCCAAGGGTGGTGTTTAGGGGCTACAATTCCCTTAAAATTCCATCCGGTCATTTCTGTACTTGGAAAACCCAGTAAAAAGTGACTGCTATGGTGACCTTTTCTCCTCTTCCAGATCCTGCGCCATCTCCTGGGCAACACGCGTTAACCATGCTGACCCTGGAGCCAGCACCACCACTGCTGGCGGACCTGGGGGCTGCTCTGGAGCCAGCGTCAGGTGCAGCCCTGGGTGCACCAGGATATCTACATTCAGCACCAGCACCAGCACCAGGGCAAGGGCCCCTTTCAGGAACACTGCTGGAGCCGCAGTCAGCCCCAGAGGCCCCCTGTCCCTGTCCCGGGAGTGTAAAGAACCAACCCCCTGACGAGCTGTCTGATGTAACGACCTTCCCTCCCAGGCTGCTGGCAGAGCAGCTGACCCTGATGGATGCGGTGAGCAGCTGGGCTTTGCAGGCTGTGCCTCTGGCATCAGCTGTCTCAGACGAGCCTCTCTCTGAGGAGTGGCCAATACCCCGGGTCCAATTGCACCTCTACTTCTTACCAATCATGGGATTTGGATGAGTTTCATCATCCACAAGCCTTCCCTGTCTGCATGTGGACAGCAGAGATGGGACATCGCCCATGCCAGCTGCACAGAGGGACTGTACAGACTGAAAGACAGGGGATGGACAGAAAGCAGGACAGGGTGGTGATCACTGAGGGGCAGGCAGGGCCATGGGTCACTCACCCAGCTGCTCAGGAGCCTCACTACCCTCAGCGCTTATTAGGTACCTGATGCATACTAGATTCTATGGCAGACACCCAAACAGAGCCCATAGTTGCAGCTGCCACAAGGAAAGTGCACCGGTGTGGAGAAGTAGAGGGCTGATTGGGATGGGAGGAAGACAAGGTCTCAGGACGGGCTGGCCTGAGCCACCTTCTACTCCTTGGAGGGCGGATGGCCTAGGAAAAAATGTCACTCTCTCTTCCCACTCTCATGGAGTTTTGGGCCATGATGCATTCAGGGGCCTCGGTGGGCAAAATATCAAACCCAGGGACTCCCACACATCTGGAGCCCATTTTAAAGCTTTCTGAGCTCCAGCTCAGTTCCTGCCAGAGACCATGGATGACTGTGAGCTCAGTCCCTGCCTGGGACTGTGGGTGACTCTGAGCTGGGGTGTGCTCTGTCCATGACACTCTCCTCCTCCCCTAAAGGAGCTGTTCAAGAAGGTAGAGCTCTACGAATGTTTGGGCTCTATCTGGGGCCGACGAGCTAAGGAGGGGAATGAGCACGTGGCACCCACAGTTCGTGCCACCATCGCACACTTCAACAGGCTCGCCAACTGCGTCACCACCTCCTGCCTCGGGGACCACAGCATGAGGGCCCAGGACAGGGCCAGGGTGGTGGAGCACTGGATCAAGGTGGCTAGGGTAAGCCATGGTTGGGCCTGAGGATTCCCTCTCTAAAAATGGGGAACTGCCTCTTCTCCTCCATCGGCTTTCAGGATTGGCATCTGTATCTCTGGCCTAAGCCCTTCACACTCCCTAGGCCCTTCTTGCCAGAGCTTCACTGACCTTGACTCCCATGGCCCAGTGGGGGCTGCTCACTTCCAACCTGGGCTCTTCCTTGGGTTGAACTAAAATCCTAGATGAGTGATATGCACTCGACTCCAGGTGTGCCCTCCTGAGGCTCCCTAGGCCTCTGCTTTGTCCAGGAGGGGAGATCTCAGCAGAGGGGGCTGAGGCTGAAGTAGGCCGGGCTCCAACTCTGGACCTCACAGCTCACTCTTCCCTCTCCAGGAGTGCCTAAGCCTCAACAACTTCTCCTCGGTGCACGCCATTGTCTCTGCTCTGTGCAGCAACCCAATACATCGGCTACACAAGACGTGGGCAGCAGTGTCCAGGTGAGGAGGACTCTCTCCATGGGAGCACCAGGGTTGACCTAGGGATTCATAGGTCTCCCCACGTGCCCTCAACGACTCTGAAGGGTTCTTGGAGACCAGGGACACTGGAGGCAGGGATGGGCCCATGGGTGTGGTCACTAAGCTGTCTTGGACTCCTAGGCAAGGATTTCCAACTCAGGACTAAGGTTTTTTAATCATCAGGAACAGACTGGAGCCAACTGGAGGCTTTCAGGTGTTTGCACCCAGCAGTGGAACTGTGTCCAGCTGGAAGCTAACTGTGAACATGCAGGGGCTCATGGGAAGTGGAGATGGGCCAGTGGAGGAGCATGACAGGTCCCACCCTGGTCCTCTGGAGTCCTTTTCATCAGAGGACCCCATTGGAAACTCCCACCCAGGAAGTTGGGATTCTCTGGGCTTTCAAATAAAAGGGATTAGATTGGAACTCACAAATCTTGCAGCTTATTCCCAAATTTACTCTTTTTCTTTCCTCTGTCCACAGCAAAAGCACAAAATATCTAAAAGAACTCTACAAAAAAGACACTACATTGAAGAGGGACCTGCTGATCAAGGTACAGTGGAGTCTGGGAGATGCAGCACAAGTGTTTAAGGGTCAGAGAAAAGAGCGAGTTTGGAAGGGCATTGGACCTGGTGTGAAGTGGTTATTTTCCTTTGTTTTGACTTACCTACTAAAAGTGGACCTGAAAATTTCCCTCCATGCCTACCTTGGGCCAACAGGGAGAGGGGTATGAGGGTCCATGGGCACATGGGAGAACAGGGGCAGGAGGCCCTGGAAATGGGATGTGGCAATGGCTGCTGGGCTGCTGAGCGGGGGTGATGAGCTGCAGCATTAGCAGGGCTCTGGCTCCCACGCTGGTCCATGCTGCTGGCATGGAGCTTCCTCCAGGCTGAGGGATGGTTATGGTAGGTGGGATTTTCTTCCCTCCTCAAACTGGCCAGCAATTCCTCAGGAAGCCAGGCCTCTGCTGCTGCTTCTGTCTGCAGTGCACCTCCATGGGCAGGGGACCTCTGCCCACACTGTGGGAGAGGGGGAACGAAAACAGAGGAAAATCATGTGCCCGGGAGTCCAGTGGACCGCCCAGCTATGGGCACCAATGGGCATGCTCGGGACAGACATACATGTTTGCGGTGACTGCCCGCTCTGCCCTTTGCAGACACCCGAAAACTGTCATGTCACAGGATTCTCACCAGTTAGCAGTGACACATGCTCATGACAAGTATCTCAGGGATTCAGGCATTCCTAGGGGATCCTCCCTGGCCAGATCTCAGAATCTTCCATGCAAATGAGAAGGCAACATGTTACCCCACCCAGGATTCTGCAAAACTCTGCCATGTCAGTCAGAGATGGAGCCACAGGAGGCCACATCTTGAGTAGAGGAAGAGAGAGTTCTGTGCACGGAACTCCCCTGAGGAATCAATGGCAACGCAAAATCTTTGGCATGGCTCAAACCAAGTTTGTGTGTCACAGACTCCAGTGGGGCTTGGATAGGCAGGTGCCACTTAACCAGGTCTCCTAAAATGCCCTGTCCCTTTCCCATCACGACTGTGCCTGGTTGGAGACCTAGACACTCAGAGACTCCAGCAAACACAACCCTGATGGGTGGTGGTGCTAGGATATGGGGTGAAGGCAGCCGAGACACAGCCTCCAGGACAGGCAGGAGGCGCCCTGTCTTTTGGGGTCCTGGGGAGTCACTCTCCACTCTGGGTCTCTGTTTGCTCTTCTGGAAAATGAAGGGATGCTGAGCCTGTAGTGCAGCCCTCACATGATGAAAATGAGGTTAAAGAAAAGAAAGCAATTTGAAGGCGCGCATGTCTGGTTCTTCCTCAGAGGGATGAGGATGAAAACAATGGCAACAGCTACAGGAAACAGTACTCAGGAAGCCCTGTGAGGTAGCTGTGGTTTTCATCGCTCTTTACAGAAGAGGAAACAGTCTCAGGGAGGCCCGGCTGCATGATTGGGTGACACACACAGGAGTGTGGAGCTGGGCCAGTGGAATGAGCACTGTGCCAGATGACACACGCCAGTCGCTGGGGATCCAAGTGCGGGGTGGCTGGGGTGTAACTGGGGGAAGGGAGGAGAGCCTCACTGTCTCCATCACTGACACCTCGCAGGCAGGGAGCTTTAAGGTGGCCACCCAGGAGAGGAACCCACAGAGAGCGCAGATGAGGCTGCGGAAGCAGAAGAAGGTGAGCGAGCCTTTTTCATGGAGGGGCCGCAGGCGATCAGAGGACAGGGCTCCCTTCCCCGCCAGCTGGAGGCCTCCATATCAAGACAGTGGGGGCTTCCTCCCAGCCCTGTCCTCCTGTGGACACTGGGCTGGGAAAACCTCCATTTGAGAGACCAGAGCAAGGGACTGGGAAAGCTGGACTCAGAGTGGATGTGGGGAAGGGTAAGGCTAGAACCACATGCCCCTGTGAATTGTTAAAATCCCACCATAGAGTGGGATTTTAACAATTCTAATAACTGGGAATGCTTGCTAGACTTGGAGATCAGCTGGGATAGAGGAGGCAGAGAATTGGGAAAGGCAGCTGAGGGTCTTTGGCTGCTCCGACTGGGAGACCTGGGGAGCGGGGTTCTGGGAGACAGGGGCTGATGAGATTTCATAGGACAGGACCTTGGACAGGCACCTGACGGCCAATACTCATCACAACTACCCCTCCCACTTCCCACCCTTCTTGGCACAGGGAGCGGTCCCCTTCCTGGGGGATTTTCTGACTGAGTTACACAGGTTGGATTCGGCCATCCCGGACGATCTGGATGTGAGTGAGCCTGGGGCAGGCTGGTTGGGAACCAGGATCCTGAGGCTTGGGAGGAGAGGGTCCTGGACCGAGCCCTTAGATCTC